CCCTTTAATCCTGCTGTGCGGGAGAAACTTTGAACCACGCCCCGTGGCCTGGTGGGTAAAGCTCTCGCTTCGCATGGCGAGTGTCTGGGTTCGATTCCCAGCGAAGGTAGAAACACTGGGCGTGTTTCTTTACACCGGTTGTCTATGTTCGCCAATCAGTAAAATAGGTACCTGGGTGTTAGTAGACTGGTGTGGGTCGCATCCTGGGACAAAACTGACCTAATTTGCGGGAAATGCTCAGCATAACAAGCGGCTTTCTAGATAGTAGTATGTCACTGATGTCAGCTATGATCTGTATACCTTGTACATGTACTGGTAGAAAAGATATTATTATTAGTTTCCAATTATTCCCATTGTCTATCATCTACTTAAAGCAGCCTATTATGCGGGCAAAACGTTCTCTGAATTAATGTTTCAGATTCTTTTGTGCATCATTAAAGCGCCGACCTTGAAGTAACTAATGGCTGAAGCAATATACAAACCTGGAAGAAAACTGAATGACTGTACAAATCTTGTAAATATCTGAAGTATACCTAAAGGATGTTTTCAGGGGGTCAACACCCCAAGGCCCGATCCCAGACCAACCTCCTGTCTCAAGGTTTGATCAACCAGGCTGTTATTGCTGGCGGCACGCACTCCAAAGTATGAATCCCAGCCCGGCTAGTCAGGAACTGATTTGGAGACCTTGTCAAGTTCCCTCTTGAAGACAGCCAAAAGTTTGTTGGTAATTCCCTTCAAGCATGAAGGATGTTGAAGAGTAGGGGCACCTCTGACAAGTGTCAGACGATGAGTGTCAGTGGCTTCACAGACGTGATGAAGCTCATTTCGTTGGCGAAGCGTTGTTGGTAAATAATCTCATAACACTGCACGTGTTTCTACTGTGTAGATAATTTAGATTATTTCTTTCTTCAGTTCTATGGTTGATCAATTTCTCCAGCAAAGTACCTTTTAACGTCTAATATAACATCAGTCTGGATGCAGGTAGCTTACTGTCAACAATTGTAAAGAAAAAGCACCTTAAGTTGTTTGATAAAACTCTAGTAAAACTGCAATTTCTCTATTTTGATGTCACCCCATATATACAAATTCTCTGCTGCTTATTTTTCAGCCATGCCTTGATTCACGAGAAAATTTCCTCTAATACCAGGCTGATACCACTTTAATAACAGCCTTTAGTGTGGAACTAAAGAAAGCAATGAAATCCAAGTAGCCGGCATCATATTCTTAGTTATGGTCCACTGCCTCCAATGCTTCACTAAAGTTTGTAAAACTGATCAAACTATGCCCATTAAGATGCCTTTCAAAAATAGTTTGGACAGTTACATAAGTGAGAGTTAGACCTGCCTAGCATGGGACAGTAGGGATGCTTATATTATGTTTAATTTTCAAAATTGAGATCAAGCTGATCAGACTGTAACTCGATGCTAGGGACTTATCTCCTATATTGTAGATAAAAATCACACTGGCTATTTTACACACAAGTCCGATACCCATATGCAGTGATATGCTGAAAAACTAATCAACTTGCATTCTTAAAGAATGCATTCTTTACGAATGCAAGTTCCATCTTGCACTCTTTAAAAACATAAGAACATAAGAACATAAGAAAGGAGGAACACTGCAGGAGGCCTGCTGGCCCATACTAGGCAGGTCCTTTACAATTCATCCCACTAACAAAACATTTGCCCAACTAAAACATTTGCCCAACAACAAAACATTTGCCCAACATAAAACATTTGCCCAACGACAAAACATTTGCCCTTTGATACAACATTGGAGACAATAGTAGTAGTAACTGATGTCAGTTCGTTACCCTTGGTAGGTTGCGGTCGGTCCCTGAGCCTAAAACGGGCATGTGGCTAGACTTTGTACTACAGTGATAATTATATAATTGTCTACTGGCTGATATTACACAATTTGTCTTCCTTAGCTTCACTAAAATTTTCAGTTACTGTGATGTCATTTCAATCTTCTCGTGAAAGATCTATAGGAAATAATTGTTAAAGTGAACATTACTTCATTATAGGAGATAAGTTGGCTAAAATTAGTTTTAAGTGGAGCCAGCCTCTTAATCTTTGTCCTATATTCTTTAAAGAAATAAGCTAGAATGACTGGGGACTTGAACCGTGATCCTGAAAGTAGCAGACCAAGTCTTCTGTTTTTTTTTTTTCATTTGTGGTCGTTCATTACGACTCTGGGTTTACAATTTTTTCTGGCCTTTTTATACTTTTTTTTTGACCTCGTAATATGAACATACTACTTTAAAAGTACACCCTCTCCTGGTGGGGCCAGGAGCTAAGACTCCTACAACCAAATATATGTAATGCTAACTGTGTAGATAAAGACATGTGTATATTATTATAATCAAAAAGAAGACAGGCATAGTTTCCAGAAACTTACAAGGGAAACTTTTTGCCATAAGCAGCTTCTCATCCCTAAAACAACGAACAAAGAAACAAGTATTTCGTGGCAACAGTGATTTTTAAACACACCAGCAAACCCTAGGATATATTTATAAGAAAATTTTCCGGTCCTGGGACATGATCACTTAACGAAGGTCGAAAATGGTGACATGAAGAATGCAAGTGAGGTTTGAGACGAGAACAAGTAGACAACGAGATCATGTAATTCCTATATTGAGGGAGGTTGAGCTTAGCCTAGTTGAGTATTATTTATGACTGAGACACGTCATGACTACGGTGGTGAGCACTTTCATCTAGGCTGAAGGACTGATTCCCCATATGTATCCAGTTTCAATTCCTCAACTAATCTGTGTATTAAACTGATAAAGCCACTGACTGGTGAAACGTTCACAGAATAAAGATACCCAGATGTTGGATATGTCATATTCATCAGAGCTAAATATGTACACAACTTCCTATTCTTCTACGAAATGTTCCAGTCTTATGTTCGTCCATTTAGGGTTAATTAATTGAACTAATTCCCGGTTGTAAATGGTGATTAACAGACATTCAATAAATAAGACTTGTGAAACACTTGGATATCTTCACTGGTGAAACGTTTCGCCTGCATAACAACAATCTTCAGTCTAAAACAGGAGAAAAAAACTGGAAACAGTAATAAGAGTGAAGTGGTCAGTCCCTCAGCCTTGGTGGGTGGTGGTCAGTCCCTCAAGCAGACTGGCGAGACAGTCCACCAGGATCAAGCAGACAGGCGAGACAGTCCACCAGGATCAAGCAGACAGGCGAGACAGTCCACCAGGATCAAGCAGACAGGCGAGACAGTCCACCAGGATCAAGCAGACAGGCGAGACAGTCCACCAGGATCAAGCAGACAGGCGAGACAGTCCACCAGGATCAAGCAGACAGGCGAGACAGTCCACCATCACTCGCACACACACCACCATCACTCGCACACACCATCACTCGCGCACACACCATCATCACTCGCACACACACCATCACTCGCACACACACCATCACTCGCACACACACACCATCACTCGCACACACACACCATCACTCGCACACACACACCACCCGCACACACACAACCACATCCACACACACACCACCTCACACACACAAACACCACCACACCCACCACCACCATCACACACACACACCACCACCATCACACACACACACCACCACCATCACACACACACACCACCACCATCAACACACACACACCACCACCATCACACACACACACCACCACCATCACACACACACACCACCACCATCACACACACACACCACCACCATCACACACACACACCACCACCATCACACACACACACCACCACCATCACACACACACACCACCACCATCACACACACACACCACCACCATCACACACACACACCACCACCATCACACACACACACCACCACCATCACACACACACACCACCACCATCACACACACACACCACCACCATCACACACACACACCACCACCATCACACACACACACCACCACCATCACACACACACACCACCACCATCACACACACACACCACCACCATCACCACACACCATCACACACACCATCACTCACACACACACACACACACCACACCATCACACACACACACACCATCACACACACACACCATCACACACACACACCATCACACACACACAACCATCACACACACACACACACCACCACCATCACTCACACCACCACCATCACTCACACCAACCACCATCACTCACACACACCAACCACCATCACTCACACACACCACCACCATCACTCACACACACCACCACCATCACTCACACACACCACCACCATCCACCCCATCACACACACCACCACCATCACTCACACACACCACCACCATCACTCACACACACCACCACCATCACTCACACACACCACCACCATCACTCACACACACCACCACCATCACTCACACACACCACCACCATCACTCACACACACCACCACCATCACACACACACTACCACCATCACTCGCAACACATACCACCATCACTCGCACACATACCACCATCACACACACCATCACAACACACCATCACACACCACCATCACACACACCATCACCACACACCATCACTCACACCATCACTCACACCATCACACAACACCCATCACTCACACACACCATCACACACACCATCACACACACCATCACTCACACCATCACACACACCATCACTCACACACACCATCACTCACACACACCATCACTCACACACACCATCACTCACACCACCACCATCACTCACACCACCACCATCACTCACACCACCACCATCACTCACACCACCACCATCACTCACACACACCATCACTCACACCATCACACACACCATCACACACACCATCACTCACACCATCACTCACACCATCACACACCATCACACACCATCACTCACACCATCACACACACCATCACTCACACCATCACTCACACCATCACTCACACCACACATAATAAACCACAGTTACACTCTCATTCTCATCCAAAATTTGTGTTACAACTCAAATTTTTCACTCACCAGGTATGGTTGGCGACACGAATCTTTTTGAAACAAATCTTTTTTCCCCCTGGAATCCACACTAAACACGGCGAGGCGAGAATCAAGCCATTAATTTTTCACTTGCACTATATCTCACGTAACAATCACTGTGTAATTATTCCCGGTAATCCGTGTGCGAGACTTCAGTAAGAGTTCCCCGCGGCGAGAGACAACACAACCTCCCACCACCACGTCTGGAGCAGCACTAACCTTCCGCCCTCACCGCTGTGCCCTCACCGGCTTCTTGCGCAGCCATCATGGCGCACCTCAACCACCACAAACCCTCATTATAACTATATTTCCTCTAGTAGCACCCTTACCTACCTAACCCGATAAACATCCCCATAAGCGAAACGTTCCTATGACACTCTTACCCAGTTTCATGAGCGTTTTAATGGAGTTATAGTCTGGCTGCCTCTTCCAGACAGGGTCCACCTTCACTTGTTTTTTCCACCAAAACAAACCCACGTACCCGCACCTTCACTTGTTTTTCCCACCAAAAACTCAGGTACCCGCCACAACAACACTTCTCCCGCTACCTCACACCACCAGTATATACTTTCCCATTACTACAGCACCAATATAGCCGGTCTTACCCATCACAAACAAATACTACCGTTTATATTAATGAATATTCAATTAATACTGGAAGACTGTGGCAATAAAACTGCCCAGACGCAGCCATACTTCTGTAGCCTTCAACTTACACCCTTGTATATACCTCTCTAAACCTATATACCCTTCATATCTACTTCCAATGCGTAGCTTAATGTTTATTAAATATGTTTACTTCTCTAAAACCTGTTTGCTACTGCTCGCTAAATATAAATTCCATATTTACCAAAATCCACTTTTTTTAAAAGTGATGCGGGCGAACGGTTCTTGATCCACGGAATTGGAATCACGATCCCCTTCCTTGGATCAAATCTAACTGGTTCTTATTTATGATTGTATGTTAGTTTCCAACGTCAGTATAATACGTTTCTTTATTGCCAACGTTTCGCCCACACAGTGAGCTTTATCAAGTCACAAGCGAGCTACCTGGTGAGAGACATGTGCGACAGTTATCTTTATTCCGAAACGTTTCGCCTACACAGTAGGCTTTTTCAGTTGAATACAGATGAGGCAGCAGATGTCAAGACGATGCAATCAGTCCAACATCCTCCAAAACGTAGTTTTAAGGTGGTTAGTCCCACAGTCTGGAGAAGAGTTTTGCTCCATAGTCTGTAGCAGAACTCTTCTCCAGGCTGAGGGACTGACCACCTTAAAACTACGTCTTCAAGGGTGATAGACTGATTACATTGTCTTTACATCTCTGCTGCCTCTGTACTCGACTGAAGAAGCCTACTGTGTAGGCGCAATGTTTCGGAATAAAGGTACCTAACTATTGCACATGTGTCTTACTTATCAGCTTGTCAGTATTGTATACCATTGTTACATTCACAGATCTACCTGAGGAGAGACGACGTGTGTATATATAGCGTGAAAAATTCAGATGAGGAATGTTGAGGCTGATTTCTGGGTAGGCCTGGAGTTTACCTGGAGTGAGTTCCGGGGGTCAACGCCCCCGCGGCCCGGTCTGTGACCAGGCCTCCTGGTGGATCAGAGCCTGATCAACCAGGCTGTTACTGCTGGCTGCACGCAAACCAACGTACGAGCCACAGCCCGGCTAGTCAGGAACCGACTTTAGGTGCTTGTCCAGTGCCAGCTTGAAGACTGCCAGGGGTTTGTTGGTAATCCCCCTTATGTATGCTGGGAGGCAGTTGAACAGTCTCGGGCCCCTGACACTTATTGTATGGTCTCTTAACGTGCTAGTGACACCCCTGCTTTTCATTGGGGGATGTTGCAACGTCTGCCAAGTCTTTTGCTTTCGTAGTGAGTGATTTTCGTGTGCAAGTTCGCTACTAGTCCCTCTAGGATTTTCCAGGTGTATATAATCATGTATCTCTCCCGCCTGCGTTCCAGGAAATACAGGTTTAGGAACCTCAAGCGCTCCCAGTAATTGAGGTGTTTTATCTCCGTTATGCGCGCCGTGAAGGTTCTCTGTACATTTTCTAGGTCAGCAATTTCACCTGCCTTAAAAGGTGCTGTTAGTGTGCAGCAATATTCCAGCCTAGATAGAACAAGTGACCTGAAGAGTGTCATCATGGGCTTGGCCTCCCTAGTTTTGAAGGTTCTCATTATCCATCCTGTCATTTTTCTAGCAGATGCGATTGATACAATGTTATGGTCCTTGAAGGTGAGATCCTCCGACATGATCACTCCCAGGTCTTTGACGTTGGTGTTTCGCTCTATTTTGTGGCCAGAATTTGTTTTGTACTCTAATGAAGATTTAATTTCCTCGTGTTTACCATATCTGAGTAATTGAAATTTCTCATCGTTGAACTTCATATTGTTTTCTGCAGCCCACTGAAAGATTTGGTTGATGTCCACCTGGAGCCTTGCAGTGTCTGCAATGGAGGACACTGTCATGCAGATTCGGGTGTCATCTGCAAAGGAAGACACAGTGCTGGGGCTGACATCCTTGTCTATGTCGGATATGAGGATGAGGAACAAGATGGGAGCGAGTACTGTGCCTAGTGGAACAGAGCTTTTCACCGTAGCTGCCTCGGACTTTACTCTGTTGACGACTACTCTCTGTGTTCTGTTAGTGAGGAAATTATAGATCCATCAACCGACTTTTCCTGTTATTCCTTTAGCACGCATTTTGTGCGCTATTACGCCATGGTCACACTTGAAGAATTGAGACACTTATGCAACACATGGGAATCTTTATTGAAGAAACGTTTCGCCACACAGTGGCTTCATCAGTCCAATACAAAGTAGAAATGGGTAAGGAGAGTAGAAGTATGAGGTAATCAGTCCCTCAACCTGGATTCGATGTGTTCAGTCCATCACTCTTGTAGTAAGTGCAGCATAGGGCCAGAGAGGTGGCTTATATACTGCTGTGAGATGAGTTGAAGCAGGAGGAGGCGGGATCACAGTGGGACCTGCCACTAGTGTAAGTAGGTCGTCGTCCAAAGGTTGGGCAAGCGTTGAAGTCTTTGTACCAAGATCCCATGATGTTGCAGTGTCTGACAGATGTGATGAATGGTTTTGAAAACCGACAAGTTGAAGAATTGAGACACTTATGCAACACATGGGAATCTTTATTGAAGAAACGTTTCGCCACACAGTGGCTTCATCAGTCCAATACAAAGTAGAAGTGGGTAAGGAGAGTAGAAGTTTGAGGTAATCAGTCCCTCAACCTGGATTCGATGTGTTCAGTCTTCAACGCTTCAACACTTGCCCAACCTTTGGACGACGACCTACTTACACTAGTGGCAGGTCCCACTGTGATCCCGCCTCCTCCTGCTTCAACTCATCTCACCGCAGTATATAAGCCACCTCTCTGGCCCTATGCTGCACTTCCTACAAGAGTGATGGGCTGAACACATCGAATCCAGGTTGAGGGACTGATTACCTCATACTTCTACTCTCCTTACCCACTTCTACTTTGTATTGGACTGATGAAGCCACTGTGTGGCGAAACGTTTCTTCAATAAAGATTCCCATGTGTTGCATAAGTGTCTCAATTCTTCAACTTGTCGGTTTTCAAAACCATTCATCACATGGTCACACTTGTCGAAGGCTTTTGCAAAGTCTGTATATATTACATCTGCATTCTTTTTGTCTTCTAGTGCATCTAGGACTTTGTCGTAGTGATCCAATAGTTGAGACAGACAGGAGCGACCTGTTCTAAACCCATGTTGCTCTGGGTTGTGTAACTGATGGGTTTCTAGATGGGTGGTGATCTTGCTTCTTAGGACCCTTTCAAAGATTTTTATGATATGGGATGTTAGTGCTATCGGTCTGTAGTTCTTTGCTGTTGCTTTACTGCCCCCTTTGTGGAGTGGGGCTATGTCTGCTGCTTTTAGTAACTGTGGGATGACCCCCGTGTCCATGCTCCCTCTCCATAGGATGGAAAGTTCTTGATGAACACGGAGTTCCATGAGTCTGGCCCTGGGGCAGAGTGCATGGGCATGTCATTTATCGCCTGTTCGAAGTCATTTGGCGTCAGGATAACATCGGATAGGCTTGTGTTAACCAAATTCTGTGGCTCTCTCATAAAAAATTCATTTTGATCTTCGACTCTCAGTCTGGTTAGCGGCTTGCTAAAAACTGAGTCATATTGGGACTTGAGTAGCTCACTCATTTCCTTGCTGTCATCTGTGTAGGACCCATCTTGTTTAAGTAGGGGCCCAATACTGGACGTTGTTCTCGCCACACGCCACATGACAGGTTGCAGAAATACATGGCTGAAAAAGTGTTGGAATGCAGATATACCTGCCAAGCATGGGCCAGTAGGCCTACTGCAGTTCTCCTCCTGGCATGATACAAGAGTTGTTAATAAAGTGGCTGTTGGAGTTCAATACAAACAAGTGAAGACAATCGTGGTGAAACGTTATATTTAATAAATGATCTGAGCTGTACACGAGTGTACTTTTCCACAGGTTGTCGGTATCTCCATACCACTGGTACATTGTGCACATTTAAAACCATTTATAATATTTTGACGAGAGTTTGGAGATCAAGGTTTTACGTTCATGGCGAGTTGATGACTTGATCAAGGTCAACGCTGACCTGAACGCTCTCTGATTTAAGACTTGCTTTGGAAACGTAACTTTACCGTAGCTAGATCGTTAGCGCACTCACCTCACACACTGAGGTCCGGAGTTCGAATCTCCGGTACGGCTGCATAACATTAGGAACGTGTTTCCATAAGACACCTGCTGTCCATGTTCACCCATCAGTATAAAATGGGTACCTGGGTGTTAGTAAATTGGTGTGGGTCGTATCCTGGAACAAAACTGGCCTAATTTGCGGGAAATGTTCAACATAACAATGGACTTTCTATATAGTAGTATGTCACTGATGTCAGCTATGGTCTGTATACCTTGTACATGTACTGGTAGAAATAAACATATATTATTATTGTATGGTTTATTATCGTATTTGTCGGTCAAAATATCGAGTGTGTCTTCAGTCTCGCCCCAGAGGTCGCGTCTAACTTAACGACCCAAAGGCAAGTTGCACTACCTCACCACCTACTACACACTCCACCACAATGTGCTTGACCAGTCACGCACCCTACCATACTACCTGACCACTCACACACTCCACCACAATGTGTTTCACCAGTCACGCACCCTACCACACTACCTGACCACTCACACACTCCACCACAA